AAATGCCTTTGCATAGTCAATGAAACACAGATAGACATTCCTCTGGTATTCCCTGCTTTCAGCTAAGATCCATCTAACATCAGCTACAATATCCCTAGTATCACGACCCCTTCTGAAACCAGCCTGGACTTCTGGTAGTTCTCTGTTGATGTGCTGTTCCAGTAGCCATCTTAATTTTCCAACTCATTTCTACATTTCCAATAACTTTACAAAATGGTAGGAAAATAATAGTTATCATATTTTCACGAATCAATCCTGTGAAATAATCCTCTCATTCTCTCGATATCTTAGAAAGGGTTTGCCCATCCCATCATCATGAAAAGGCTGAAACACCATTCTCTTTCTTAAACTAATCCTAAATGAGAACTTTTGGTTCTTTTCAATGATGATTAAAATTGCTATTATCTCCTATTGTCCACTTTTCTGCATTATTAGTATTGTTGTATGCCTTTGAGTCAGAACCAATCCATAGCCAACTCTCCAGGAGATTGTCAGAAGCATTACGTTGCATGGGAGAAGATACCTCATTATTTTCCCATGGAGCAGGTGATGGATTTGAACCATGTGCCTTTGAGGTTACAGCAAAATTTTTTACCCCTAGGCCATCAGAGTCCCCTTTCTGCATAATTACTTGACATCTACTTGAAAATGTACAGAGAAGTCTACTTTGAAATACCTTTTTATTCTATTGCTGATACTCTCCTACTAGTCAGTTATACTTTTGCCTGTCCTGGATTTTTGTCCAATCAATTCATACTTGGACCAAGGACTTTGTACCTACCATTCATAGAAGTAAACTCAGATGTAATAATGAAAAATTATTACAAACATTATCCCATCGAATCCCCAAAGTTCTGATTCTTACTTCCAATAGCTTTAAACAATTTGTAATTTCTGTCTTCAAATTTTCTTCTGCCAAGTCACGGGACCTCTGTTCAAGCTTCACTCTTTTCTCCAAGGTAAACCAGTCACATTTAAAGCCCAAAGATAATCTGAGAAATTCGGCCTGTTACCAAGATAAGATTGGGGTGGGAAAAAATGGAATGTGGTCAAATTCAATACAAGTTTTATCCTGAGGCTTTTCTCAACCTCCCAGCAACGGGATTCTAACATGCATAGGCTTTACCTGCACTCCTTCATTGCCAAGGTAAACAGACAATTGTATGGGACTTTGTGTAAAAAATATCTAGTCACTAAAGAAGGTGGGTCTGCAATATTCTTTTAACAAAAGGTGGGAAAAAAATACATTGAACACTCACCTCTACCTCTTTCTCATTAGCAGAAATGCTGTAGGATAAGACAAGAAACTTAGTTAAAAAAGAATTTAATCTTAGAACAAAATAAAACAGCGTACTTTGGAAAAGAAAACTTACTTGTCACTTTGTCTAAAGTTGACTGATTTCCCAGTAGTTACAGGAAGAGAGGAAACAGCAGTGTCTATTCAAAGATAGAAATCTTATTAGATTAAAAGGCTTAAAATCTAAAGGCACAGTAGATCAAGTGTTTCATGCCCTATTTCTACTAAACAAAAACAACTCATTGATATATGTTTAAAATCTTGTTGCTGTTGTTGTTAGGTGCCATCAGGTTAATTTCAAGAAATAAAAGATCTGAATCTTGCCCTATTCTGTACTATATCTAGATACAAATATGTCTGCTTATATTATTTATCATAATGGTGCCATTGGGAGCACAATTATATTGAAGTCACCAGCTCACACAGTAATGTGTGAATATACTTTGAATCTGAGATGTTTCTTAGAGCCAAGACATGTTCTCATAATTTATATCAACACTTTTTTTACTTGATCCTATATAGCTAAATGCATATTTCCCCCTGATTCTTCAGATAAAGACTTTAACGGCAGCAAGTAATATTTGTAGTAGTGGTAATAATTTTAGTATTATTTAAATAATATTAAATAAATAAAAAAGAAAGAAATTTAATATTGTAGTAGTAGTAACAACAATAAACATGACATCATCATGTCAATTTAAGAACATGGTTCTTTACATATATTAATGATATCCATGATAAATTTGTAAAAAGTGCAATACACAAATTATCAATTGCAGTTGATTTAGAATGGAAAAACTTTGGTTTAAATCTTTATTTTACAGAGAACAAAAAAAAGTCCTTAGTTTTAACCCTATGAGTGTACAACCTTGCACAAGTCACAATCTCATGAAACCATTGAAAAATAAGAGTTTCATTAGTTATCGTTATATTTTATGTACTTTTATGAGAACTTTTATGCAAGGCTCTTTACCGAGAGCTTCATAATATATTAACTTATTCAATCTTCACTGCAAACCTTATGTGGTGGAACTACTATAATTTTTTATATCTCATAAACTAGAAAATGGAGTAAATTTACCTATGTTATCCAATATATGGAAGGACTAAATTAAATTAGGATTCTGGGGCTTTGTCTGACATACTTTGGACATGTTGTAAGGAGGGACACGTCCTTGGAGAGGGACATCATGCTTGGTAGGGTGGAGGGACGGCGCAAGAGGGGAAGACCCTCTATGAGGTGGATTGATTCAGTGACTGGGGTAATCAGGATGGGTGTTTCAGAGGCAGAGCGATTGGCACAGGATAGACAGGGTTTAGGGTTGTTGTACATAGGGTCGCTATGAGTCGCAAGCGACTCGAGGATACATAACAGCAACAACAAATTAAATTATGCATAGAAGGATGTTAGCGCACCACCTAAATTAGAGGAAATGTTTTAAGACACTATTTCCATTTTGCAAATGAGAAAACCATGGGTTAAGGTGACTCAACTTCCCAAGCTCAGATAGAGACGAATCTGACCTGGTTCTTCTACTCCTATTTCAAGCTAATGGAAATAGATTGAAGAACAAATCAGATCAGCATCTATTCTTTAAACATTAATTTATTTACATGTATAGGATACTGGAAAACTTTTCAAAGGAAAACTCAGAATTTGTAACTAATACTGGCTTAGTGCTTACTTCACTATGGAGCACAAATTATTACAAATCCATAAGCAGGCAATGGTCGAGTCTAAAGACAGAGAAGAGATGAATAGGTAGCAGAATGAAATATTCCTCTTAGTTTCTCAGTCAATACAATGTAAATGCAGCTTTTTGAAGGTACTATAAATGGAATCAAGAGTCAGTCCTATTGGGTGACTTCATCCTAAGATGTAGAATTTGTAGGTTCATAACTTAAATCAGAAAGATTCTACATATAAAATTAACAGGAGGAGGGAAAAAAGTCTAGGTGGGGGTTGGAAGAGAGTATATCTTACCTCCTGCAGCACATACTTTCCTATGCTCTTCCATTGTTTCAGGTTCCTTCTTGGCTTCCTAAAATCATAAAGAGGTTTTACTGTTGTACAGAGAACATAAATTCTTTATTGCCAATCATTTCACTATTTCCTGTTCTCACCTAACTCCCTTCTGAAGGAACTGTGCTAGAGATTATAAAGCAAACAAGATCCATTACAATATTGTTTTCCATTTAACAGGGCAATAAAGAACTTAAAATATGTTAAAATTGACAAAACCAACTTAAGTTCCTACAAAATAATAAGGATTGAATCTATTAAATACTCATAGAGATGCACTCTAAATTTGGAGTAGTGAAATACCACAGCTTGAGGAGTGTGGAAAGTCTCTGCAGACAAGAAATTTGAGCTAGAGCTTGATAGTGGAGCAGGATTGTGTGGATATAGTAACAAAGTGTGGGTGGATCTGGTGATGTCACATGTGGCTTTCTATATGGGTTGTAGAGGAAATACGGTAAAAATACCTGCTAAGTGAATGTTATGTTAGGCTTTTATGTATTATGCATGCATATGCATAAGGAGAGTCACCTTAATCACCAGGTTGAATTGTACTGAATCCAAGGAAAAAATTCAACTGGCAAACCATATATACACATTTCTTCTTATGATGACAATTATCTAACCTTTTCAAGTTAATAGAGTAACTTAGAAAATTGAGGACATTTTCCGCTAAAAAAGAAAATCTCAGAAGACAAATTTCTCGGCAGAGTCAGTGATATCATGGCATGTAATTCTTAAACAAAATGAATAGCTTTTATGAAATACTATAGAAAAAAAAATAGTGGTAAACATTAGCTCTTTCTCACCAGTGTGGAAATTTTAAGTTTTTAAAGTCCTCCCTCATTGCCATGATCCCTTGTATCTATGAGACTTTCTTCCTCTCTGGGGTCTCACAAGATAAGCATCTGAGAGGATTTACCAAAGTTCAGTTCTTTTCAATTCCTCACTTCCTACTTGCACTCAATTCCAACTATTCTTTCCCTGGCCCCAAAATTCCAGAGAGAATGCTTTTACTAGGTTATTAAGGAAATCTAAACTGCCAAATCCAAGAGTTTCCTCTTTATCTTATTTGATCTCTATATAGCATTAACACTTAACATCCTTTTGAAGGTTTTTCTCCTGTTGGTGTTTCTTTCCTCCTCAGAGCCTCTGTCACTCCAGTAGCACCTTCTCTGTCACCTTTGCCTTTTTATTATGTTACGGGATGCTGTTCTTCAAGATTCCAGTATCCTTAGTGCTCTCTTACCAGCAAATGTTCTTACAGTAATTTCTCTGCACACTTGATCCTTTGCTGATAAATTCCAAATGTAGCTCAGTTCCACAAAGTCTCATGAGAGAGTTTATAACTATGAGGATGCAATTTCAGACAAAATCTCCTTCAAGACTATTGGTGTGTCACACCAGCCTGAAGATTTACGTCTCAATTATGTCACCCCACAAATTCTGCTCTTCTCCCATTTCACATGGCATTCTATTCACTTTGTGGGCTAAGCCATAAACCAGGGTATTTAGCATTTCCCACACCCTCATATGAATCATCACATATTGTGAATTCTACCACCTGAATATCTCTCAAATGAGTCATCTTCTCTCCTTTATTTAATTCCGATCACCATCTTCTCTTGCCTGAATTACTACATTATCCTAACCATTTCCCCATCTCCATTTAACCATGTCTTTCTAATATATTATTTTAAAATATATCTTCCTTTCTTTAGCTTATAGGGACAACACAGAACTTCATTTCCTTATGGCTCTACCACTAAAGACTAGAATTTTCCACTGTCTGTCGTTTATTGAGAACCTTCACCTTCAGCATGTGTGGTAACCAACATTATCTGTATATCATACCACAGTAAAAAGAAGTAATTATAAATCACATATCAAATCATGCTTCTACCTTCAGACTGGAATACTGATCTGTAATTTTTCTACTGTTTTACTTTAAACACATTTATCTCCAACTTCTCTAAACATTTTTGCTCACATATTTTGTTTCTTGAAACAAAATAACATGGGTTGGGTTTCTTTTTTCCTAACTAAAGCAATTTTAAAGATTTATTTTATTTTATTTTTTTTAGAAAACTTCACAAAAACTCATTGCTGTCAAGTTGGAATTTACTCATAGCTGACCTTCCAGGGGCTTTAAGAGAGTGTAAATCACATGTGCGGAGATTGTCCATCTTTCGCCCTTGGAGGCACTGGTAGATTTGAACCACCTGCTCTGGGCTGGCTGCACAATTTACTACCCACTAATCCATATTACATAGGCACGCACACACACATAAACTTTAACCTATAAAATAGAGAGAGGGATGAATGTATAAGACCTCTGATGCAATGGAATATAGTTTCCAAATTACTCCTTAATAGTGGTGATGAATTTTTTTAAAAAATTCAGCTTTTTTGTAGAAACCAAGAAATATTTTCTAGAGGTATGGATACAAAACTGTAAAATATAGTTTCATTGTCTTATATGGGGTTTAATTGGGTCATGCATTATTCCTAATTTACTTAAATATTCATTGATTACTTCTATATGGCTGAGGTTAGCAATAAATATGACAGAATCGAATTTTGCTTTCACAAGATTCAGTCTATCAAACACAACAAATACTAAACAAAAATAATCTGAGCCATGGAATCACTGGAAAAAGCTAGCCTCCCAAGTCAATCTTTCTCCCACACAGCAGCTGAGAAGTTCAAACTTTTAATCTTTTGGTTAACTTACTGACTTACAAAAGAGCAATTATTATCTTTTTATATTCTTTTATTATGACTTGAGTTGAGTGGAAAGTTTGAGTAGATTCAGTTATTTACATATATTTTGTTTCATGATATTAATTATAATACTCACAATGTGATTATATTTCCCTTCATCTTCCCCTTTATTCTGGGTGCAATTAATTCTTCTGTCCTATGTCTTCCTGCCTTCTGAGGTTTATTCCTGGACAAATGCTGCCCTTTTGATCTCGTGTAGTTGACTGTCCCAAGAACTGAGTGCCTTCTTGGTGTATTGCTCACCTTAGAGAACTGTCTACTGTCTGACTGAAAGCTAAGCCATAGGGGTAAGTGTTGTTCCAATCTTCAAGGGTGACTAAGAATCATAGTCTTGAGAGTTTCTCAAGTCTCTGTCAGAATTTGACCTTTTTGAGTTGTGGTGGGGTTTTTTTAAAATTTGTTTTTAGTTTTGTTTAGTGTTGTTGTGTGTGTGTGTGTGTTTTCCCTTCACTCACTTTGTCCAGGATTTTCTGTGATTTCTTTTTTTTCATATTTAGAGCATCTTTATTAATAAAATACTTCCTGAGAATGAAGCTTCAATCCTCCATGAAGCTTCAATATGAGCAGAAGACAATTGCTTAAGTAACAGCCGTTAACTTATTTTTCAAGATTGGACAAAAATATTTTCCATTTTCCTGTTGTGCTTCTGAATGCTCAGTAGTTGTTTCCTTTGAAGGTGGCATCAACCCAGAAGGGATGCACTTCTAGTTTCAGAATTGAGATTTTAATCTCTTTGGAAATTATCATCTAATTTCTTCTGGTTCAGGGCCTTACAGCAGTAAATTGTGGTTGCTGTGAGGCTGAACACTGTGACACTGATGTGTCAAATGCATTAATGGCTGGTTACCCAATGCAGAGAATGGGGTGGAGCTCCCCGATTAAAACAAGCTTAGAAGGAGGAGTGGCATCCACTTCCATAATAGCTTGCCTCCGGAAGCCCTATGAACCTAGAGAGAGGATGAAAGACACCCAAGCGTCAAGGACTCTCCTTCATTGCGTCGCTATGAGTCGCCTGCAATTCGACAACACTTAACAACAACAACAACAAGAGTTGTCATGTTGAGCACATACTCAGCACATGAAAACACATGCTATTTCCCTTGCCTGAAACACTAGCGATCTAGATGTCTAATATACACTCTTTAACTCTATTTACTTGCTATCTTCTCTTATTTGCCTTCTGTCTACTTACTCCAAGTATGTTTCTTTCATGTGACTAATTGCACTCTAATTTTTCAGTAATTTTCTATTTATATACCTGGTTTAAATATAACCTCTTCAAGGTGGTTATAATTCTTTTCTTTAACTTTATTAATGCATTCATTTATTTAAGCAGTCCCCTGCTAATGGATATTTAGTCTGCTTACACTGGACATCTGATGAATAAATGGTTACATGACTGAATGAATGAATACGTGAACAACCAATATGCATTAAGGATATTATATCCCTGACTCTATTGTATAACTTTAGATAAGTCACAAAGATATATTGGCCTCAACTTCTTAGTAATATAATTAGATGCTACTGACCTCATAATATTATAAAAACATAAAGTAAGATCGTGTTTTTCAGGCTACTTCTTAGCAAACTTAATGGGACAGTTCTGCCACTGTAATATTGTACTAATTTTACAGCATGTTTGGAAAAGTTGAAGGTAGTCAAAGAAAGACCTTTAATAAGACGTCTTGACACAGGGACTGCAACAATGGAATGGTGCACTGCAGAGATTGTATGGCTGGTGTAGAATAGGGCAAGGATTCAATGTGTCGTTCAGCTACCATGAGTCATAGCTTGACGGTACCTCACAACATTATTAACAGGTGTATATTTTCTTACCAGATTTAGTATGACCTTTCCCTCACTTAGAGAGCTCTGCAGAGGACTACTGTCACGAGGTGGACTAGTGCCTGTGATACAAAGGAAATATGAGTAGTTAGGGGAGCAGCAACAAGTGACAGGAAGAAATACAAACGACGTCAATAAGGGCAAAGGTCTTAACTTGGAAGACAAATGATGTACCACAAAAGGCCAAGTGCACTGCTTTGGAATCAGGGAGAGCAGCCTTGAGGTTCACAAGAAATGAGACCATGTTGGATTTCTTGGAAAATGGAACAATTGTGTCCTAGTCTTTAAGACACCAGATTTTATATATAGAGACTTTTCCATATTATCCAATTTATTACTAGTGTAATAGAAGCTATGCAGAGGAAAAAATAGCACTCAGTAATTAAATAACTTTTTCACAGCTTAGAAACTTTTTTAAAGAAAATATACTTGTGGAAGATAAAAATATCAATTTTATCAACTTCTAAAAACCTGGTATGTTCCCAAGTAAAAAAAAAAAAGTCATTAAAAGGAAAATATCCACTTTTAATTTATGTCATTTATTTTCCTAACCTCCATTTATTTTTGTGTACTTTATTGATACTGTATGTGCATAATAGTTATTTGCCTCTTCACAAATTTGATTGTCCTGAATTCAGTTCAGTTATAGATAAAAAGGTAGGCAACCAGAGATTATTCCTTTCTTTAAAAAAATATTTAAAACACATAAATAATTACTGAGCATTTATTATTCATCCATAGGAGAAAAAGGGACAATCTTCTCCTAGTTTAGGCTCTGAAAATTCATTTTCTGGAAAGTCAGCAATGAATCTGCTCCAATCTGACAACATATTATCATTATTTATTAATTTACATATCAAGAAGAACAAAATTATAACTAGTTTCTTCCTGAATGTACAATTTCTCCATAGATATTTAAGTTTTTAACTAAATTTTAATGTACATCATTAATTCATCAGGTGTCTATACAAGAAAATGTAAAATATTAGGAATTACATTCCCCCCTCTCACTTTGATTTTCAAGACATGTAGTTTTCACACCTATAAACTATGTTATTAGTTTCCATCTAATTGTTACAGAGGTATTCATGAGCACAGTTTTTCTCTATCTTTTTCCCCCCAAACCCACCGAAGGGGTAGCTGAGACCAGCCATGACTGAGTCCATTTCAACTCTACGGCAATGGATTTGAGTTTTGAGTTAAATAAAATGTTCTGGGTTTTGTTTAGTATTTCTAAACAGTATTTCTGTTATAATAATATAAATTAAAAATTACTCTGCATAACTTATATTTGCATGATATATACTATTGTTTGAGTATACTAAAAATCCATTAACAAATTACTGATGTCAAATATTTTACTGTTACAGACAATGATGTGATGATTAAAGTTATACATATGCTATTCTTCAATGTGTGCACATTTATTTCTAGGAAAAATTCTCAGAAGTTGAATTGTTGTACAACAAAGTATGGGCATCTAAAATTTATTGTAAATATTCTTCTAATTTTTGTTACAATAATCAATATTCCCTTTTTT